ATCAAAAAATCAGCCGGGCATGGTGGCGCATGCCTGTAATTCCGGCTACTCGGAAGGCTGAGGCGGAAGGATCACTGGAGCCCAGCAGGTCGAGGCTGCGGTGGCTGGGAGCGGCCACTGCACTCCAGTCTGGGCGACAGAGTGAGACTCCAACTCAAAAAAAAAAAAAAAAAAATTGTGTGGCTCAAGCCTATAATCTCAGCACTTTGGGAGGCCAAGGCGAGAGGATTACCTGACCCACCTGGACAACATGGTGAGACCTCTTCTCTACAATAAATCAAAAAATTAGCCGGGTGCGCTAGCGCGTGTGTATAGTTCCAGCTACTTGGAAGTCTGAGACAGAAGGATCACTGGAGCCCAGCAGGTCCATGCTGGGGTGGCCATGAGAGTGCCACTGCACTCCAGCCTGGGTGATAGAGTAAGGCTCCAACTCAAAAAAAAAATTGTGTATTTATTCTTAAATGTTTAAACTTCTGTCACCTTCAAAATACTCTCTGTTTGATGCAATACACACCTATTTGAGACGCTTTTTCCACTGCTCAAAACAGTTTTTGAACTTGTCAATTTTGATGTCTTTTAGTGTTTCTGCTATTTTTGTTTCACTTCATCCACACGGGCAAAATGAGCACTTTTTTTTTGTTATCCAGGGAAACAACGAAAAAAGTCCATCGGGTGAATAGGGTGAGACATGGGGGTCATGCTGTTTTTTATCAAAAACTGCTGAACGCTCAGAACAGTGTGGTAGGTATGTTGTCATGGTGAAAGAGCCAGTTACCTGTTTGCCACAACTCGGGATGTTTCTTCTGCAAATTGTGGCACAACCTTCTCAAAACTTCCAGTTAAAAACTTTGGATGACTATTTGATCAGGAAGAACAAATTCCAAGTATACCAGAAGGGACCCACCCTCCAAAAGATAATTCTGTGTTTTTTTGGCCCTCCCCCCACATAGAGACTGTTTTTCTCTTTTCTTTTCTTTTTTTTTCCTTCAAATTTATTTATTTTTTAAGTCGGAGTCTCACTCTGTCGCCCAGACTGGAGTGCAGTGGCACGGTCATGGTCACCACAGCCTCAACCTGCTGGACTCAGGTGATCTTTCCGCCTCAGCCTTCCAAGTAGCTGGAACCACAGGCACACGCCACCATGCCCTGATAATTTTTTGATTTATTTATTGTAGAGCTGATGTCTTGCCAAGTTGCCCAGGCTGGTCTCAAACCTGTGGGCTCAGGCAATCTTCTCACCTCGGTCTCCCAAAGTGCTCACGGGATTATAACCGTGAGCCACCACACCTGTCCTAGCTTCCACTTTCAAGAAGCATGAAGTCTTGGGTAAGACCACAATTCTGAGCTAATTGAGAGCCAGTGAGGAAGACTATTGCTGTCTGTGAGCTAAGCAACTGAACCCTGGGCAGACTCAGGTTTTTACAAAACCCAAAGCTAGAAAGGAGAATATGTTCATAAATAGATTAAGAATAAAGCACATGGGAAAGGAGAATGTACCTTATTAGTTGTAGTTCCCTAAGTCTTGCTTCAGTTTAGATTTTCTGTTGCTATTAGGAAGGATTTAGCAAAGTAATAAGAATACACAGTATCTAAAGAAGCACTTTTAAAGAAAAAACAAATTAATGTAAGAGTGTCCTTAAAACTGAAACTTATCCGTATTAGTCGGGCCAAGAGCCATAGTTTAGAACTGCTGCTATTGCTGTTCTAAAGACAGGAGTGAGGCCAGGAAGAACTACCCTCCCATGCTCTGAACTAGCTTTGCATAGTCAATTCTACAAGGTAATAGACAACATCATGGAGGAAGGGAAAATCTTGCCAGTAACAACCGGTGTGATCATTTTATGTGCTTCCATTCTCTGGCCAGCATCTTTCAGTGAAGTGTCTACAATCAGAGGATATGGGTGGAGAGGGAAAACTGACACCCAGAGACGGGAAGTTCTTGCCTAGAGATACTCATCTTGTTAGTAGTTGGTCTGGGACTAGAACCTAAGGCTGCCTATTGCTAGCCTTGAGGTCCCTCTAAAAGGAGGGCTTCCCTAATTCCAATAAATCTATCTCTGCCTACTAGTTGGTTCAAACAATACAACGCACTGTGTCATTTTACTCCTACATAAACCAGAGAAGTAGGCAGCAGAGGAACAGTTACACATTTTTCAGTTGAAAATGAGACATAGACACATTAAGCCTTTCTCCCAGGGCTCTACCAGCTCCTAGAGGTTGGGCTGGTACTCAGGACTACTATGCATAGGACGCTGTGCATAAGCCCTCCCAGAGTCTCCCCATCCCTCTAGGCCCCATCTCACATCGTTGCTGATGGTGGAATCTCGGTGGATGAGGCGCTGCACATGGCTGTCGATGCTGCTGCCCGAGGAGAACTTGGTGAGTCCTGGGTGAGCCTCCCGCTCCCGCTGCCTCACCACCACCTCGCAGGCCTTCCACTCTGCCAACACCTGCTGGTACCTTGCTGCCACCACTGCATCCACCTGTACTCAGACCACACCATGACCATGGGGGAGGGGTGTACCAGGTCCTTCTCTCCAGGGGCTGGGCAGGCACTGAAACTTTGACCCTGAGTCTCAGAGTGAGGACAGTGGAGTGGAGGACAGTGAGGACAGTGGAGCCACCCCACTAACATCTTCCTCTGCCATGTTCCTTTTCAGCTCAGAAGGGCTGAGGCTTTCACGATGGCCCCTCTGGAGTCCCTTGGCCCAGCCCCCAGTCTCCCTAGCCCCATGAAAACAGGCTCCACTTACCTGCTCCATCTCCTTCTTGCTCGTACCAAACTTATAGTGGCCAAGAAGAAAGGGCCAGACATCCTTGCGGATCGCGTGCTCCACACCTCCGTAGTAAACTTGCCGCAGCAGCTCCAGCTCCTTGTAGTTCTGAGGGACCCAGGGAGTAAAGACTATGTAGCCTCCATAGTCACTGTGGCTCAGTTGGCTGAGCCCCATATCCCCTGGAGAGCTGGGGCTGGGGAGGAGGCTTCAGCCATTTCAGCAGGCAAAACCCTGCTTTGGGGTGACCATGTTGTCCTGTGCCCCAGTTTACAGCTAGTTGAGATTTAGTTATACTCTCCATCCTTACAGGGCAGGAAATGGATATAAAAATTTGCCTGAGGGCCTAGAGCAATGTGGGAGCAAAACAGATTCCCAATCCAAATCCGCTCCTCAAACCCACAGACCCAGCTGTGTGAGATTCTACCATGACCCAAGTTACTCCATGGCCATCAGTCCTGGTCTGCCACCTCCATCCACTACTACATTTTACCCTGAATGCCCATTTGGTCTATCAGTAGGCTTCTTTTTTTTTTTTTTTTTTT